TCTATACAAAATATGCAGTATTTATTAAGTTCTGGCAAAGCGTCAATCTTAATTTTTAACATTTGAAATACGTTCTTTTGTAATCCTGGATTTATATAACAGTTCTATGTAAATCTTTTTAGAGTTGAACAGCTAGGTAAACAAAATAATTTAGATTTATTTCCTAACTCTTTATATACTTTAGGACTTGAAAAATATATAGATAAACAATACTGTTTGAATGAAGCGCTATCGTATCTTCTACTTTTTGCATCCTTTTGAAAGAGGCATACTTGTGTTTTTAAAAATTCGGATGTCTGTTTTGGAAAATATTTATCTAGTAACATATATAATATATTAATATCTTCTTTTTTCGCTTTTTTTGCTTGCTGTAATTGTAATTCCAAATTGGCTATTCTTCTCTTATATCCTCTTATCTGTTGATAAAGTTGTTTTTTTCGTGGAGAAAAAGAAGATAGTGACAAAGGTATTTGTGTTACTGATTCTGATACTTTTGCTATTGTTTTGTCTGTATGTATTACATCCAGGTCCCTTCCATTGAATGTAGATATATCCGATACAGTACTTTCTTCTTGTGTATTTTCAGTATTTGAAGTGCTCATGTAAAGTGTTTCTACATTTGAGTTACTTGAACTTGCCTCTTCATCTACAATATAAGATAATATTTTATCATGCATAATGTTATTCAAATGCTATACATACATTTATGTGTGTATACATATTATTTGAAAATAACTTACCATTATTTCTCATAATATTACTTGGAACGGCATGTGGTTGCAATTTTGTTTTTTCATAATTTAAAAACATATTATTTGTAAAATGGAGTTTGCATATTCTATAATTATTATGAAGTTGTATGGCTGTCTTTGAAAGCAATTCTTCTCGACCACAGATTGATGCCCACAATTTTGACCTACAAACAATAGTATTTTTATGTTTCTACATATTTCAAATCTTTGTTATATACAAATAATAATTAAATTTTTACATATTGATCATATTAAATAAGAACGTAAGAAAATATTACTTGTACTGATTGTTTAATAATTGATTTTGAAACATGATTCAACAATTAAATCGAACTTAATTATAATGCAAAAATTATTTCAAAATTAGTCTAATATTTAAACACAGTTCACGCAATCTCCCTTAAAAACTATAATAAATATAAGATAAGTAACATAATAAACTAACCTTTCTATATCTTTCGGGAATCTAAACAAAGTTTCTTTTATCCCACGTTTTTTACTCGTTGCACTTTGACAGCCTTTTATACAACACCGATATCCACCTCTTTCACTCATTTTGTTTCACACTTTAATTATATATATATATATATTGTTGCGCTCTTGAGCAAGAAAAATAACACGGAATTAACAAAACGAAAGAAGCTTTATTTTAATACGTCCGTTCGTCGTGACAAGACCAGGGCGACTCTCTCTCATCTCTTCTTCTTTCCTTTATTTATTAAACAACCTCCTTGACAACAACAGCTGTCAAACAATCTCTACTCGATTCCTTTCCCAGTCCACTCCCAGGAGCGTGGGGATAACATGTCCCCCAAAGACACGGGCGCAGCAATATTTATTTATTAATTTAAAAATGTAGGTGACAAAAATAAGAGCACATGTGCTATGGCCACATGTTCACAACCGCCATGTTGCTGGTTGTGCGATTCAGTCATGCGCGAGAGACGAATATTAAGAAACTTTTTGGCAGAGTGAACCTACTGTGCTTTCTTATACTGTGCCAGGGTTATGCCGGACTTCTACCGGCTAAAACCTCCCTGGGTGGTGCTGCGAAGGGACTTGGATCGGGGCCTCGGAGCCTTTGTAACTGCTATCGGGGCCCCGAGTCCAGACGTACGACCATCGCCGCTCCCCAAGGGATGGAGAGGGGCGGGGGAAGCTCGAGCAAAACTCGTCTTCAACCACAGCTTCCTCTCCACCCCTTACGCCCCCGCCTATACGACTGAGAAGGGGTAAGCCGGCCACTGTGCCTAAAGCTTCAACCACTGTTCCCAGCCAGGCGGGGTGCCGCCAAAATACCGTTGTGTAAATAGCTGACCCACCGTATCAGCTAGTCACCCTACGTGTGGAGGGCTGGTTGGGATACCGGGATCCCCTTCCCGGTGCCCCACCCTCTTGCCCGGCGGTTACGAGGGGAAAAACGGGTCCCTTAGCCGCCGGGCACACGAGCCTGTAAAGGCTGGGGAAGGGTCGAGACCCATCCCTTTTCCTATCCACTAAATGGGCCTAAGGAGGCGAGGGGGGGCGAAGAGGGATGGTTTAGCGATGACACTGCCATCCCATTCTCCCCCCCTCACCGTCATCCGACTCCTATTCTCGGGGTCGGCGAACGACTGGGGGACGATTGGTCAGTCCCCGCCTTGGCCTGCCCTGTACATCAGTGGCCTGCGACCCGTAGTGGGTCCCTGCCGTTCTTCTTCCCGCTGTTGCTGCTGCTGCTGTCCTCCCCCTCTGTGTTTTGCTCTGCGGGGAGGCATTACACGAACGAGGAGGACCCTTCCCTAAGCTCCTCTTCGACCACTGCTCTCCCAGGGGAGGGGGGAAGAGAGCCGAGGCTCTACTTCTACCACCGCTCCCTCTTGCACCCCTCACACCCCGCCTATATGGCTGGGAAGGGGAAGCCGGCCAAAGGGCCTGCGCTTCAACCTCCGTTCCCAGCCAGGCAGAGTGCCGCCTCAGTGTTGCTGTACGGCTGGATGATCCACCTTCTCATCCAGCCACCCTACTTTGGAGGGCTAGCTGGGGCATCGGGAATCCCCGCCCGATGCCCCACCCTCCTGCCCGGCGGTTACGGGGGGAATAATCAAGTCCCCTAGCTGCCGGGCACATATTTGCCTATGAAAGGCAGAGAGGGGTCTAATCCCCTCCCTTCCTACCCACACTTATAAAATGTGTGGGTCAAGGGAGGCGGAGGGGGGGAAGATGATTTGGCAGCAACACTGTTATCTCACTCTACCCCTCGCCCTCATCCAATCCCTTTTCCAGGGATTGGCGGACGACCGGGGTGCGACTGACTGGCCCCCGGGCTTTGGCCTCCCGTTATTTGCATGACGGCGGGTTGTGTTGTATCACCCGCCACCGCCGCCCTTACTGGTAGGGACCCTCCTCTCCCTTGTTTTGCCCTTCTCGGGGACATCACTCAGGTGGGGAAGGCCCTCCTTAGGGGTAGTGGTAGGGGACAGGGTTGGGAGGGTGGAAGGGGAGGAGAATGATGGGTGGAATGGGAAAGATTGGAAGCGAGTGAAGGAAAGGGTGGGGGGAGACCCACCATACCCCGAATCGCCTTTTCCTCAGAGGAGTCGATATCTTCCTGCTGGAAGAGCGGCGTTCGGCTCTGCCACGCTGTCGCCTCCTCTGCGCTCTCCCTCTTCCTTCCGCTTGTCGGCGGAGCTCCTCTGCTTCTTCCTTTTCCTTCATCACCTTCTCACAGAACTCGGTGAATGTGTCCCATTTTCTCTCGCTCTCCAGCATCTTGTTGACGACACTGGGGAGCGAGAGATCGGGACCCATCTCTCTGACCACGACCCCGAGCTCGGCTGCCCATACGGGACAGTCCTGAAGGGTATGCTGCGCGGAATCGTGGTCAGCTCCGCAATGATGACACTGCGTCGTGCGTTCCTTTCCAATGCGACACAGGTACTCACCAAAGCAGCCATGCCCGGTGAGCACTTGTGTCACTCTAAATGTCAGGGTTCCTGACTCCCTGGCTACCCACTCGGCCAGGCAGAGCTGGACGGCCTCGATGCTCTTTCTCCCGTATCTGCTGTTGATTAAGCGCCTTTTCCAGCGCTGGAGAAGGAGCTGTCGGTCCTGGTGCCTCGCGCGTTTTAGCGCCCCGGCGAGCGAATCGCCAGCCCTCAAATTCCTCTGGAGCTCCTTTTTCTTCCTGTACATACTTCTGTACATCAATGCAAGGAGCTCCAGAGGGGGCATACCCGTCAGGGCCGTCGCCGCCACGTGGGATACCATACAGTACGCCCTAATGACCCTAACGGTTACCGTCCCTTGTGCTTTGCGTATTACCGCGCAGAGCAGACGACTGGCGGCCAGGGTCTCCGCCCAAATGGGCGCACCGTACAATGCGACTGAATTGATAATCCCCGCGTGGAGACGACGTGCTTTCATGTCCGGCTCCCCGATATTGGGCATTAGCTTGTCCAAATTTGCTGAGATGACCTTTAATCGGGAGGCCAGGCGGCTGAAGTGCTCCTTGAAGCACCTGGTGCCGTCCAGAATGAGGCCCAAATATCTCATTTGAGCCTCGACAGGAACCCTGATTCTGCCAATCCGTAGGTGGGCCTGAGGTGGCTTCATGCCCTTTGGGTGGAGGAAGATAGCCTTCGCTTTTCTCTCCGCCACCGTCAGGCCCACCTCACGGATGGCACGCACGCAGTGCATCGCGAAGTTTGCCGTTCGGATCGGGTCTCCCCAGTCTCTCCCCCCGGCCAGTATTAAAGTATCATCCGCGTAGCAAATGATACTGCAGCCGGGGGGAGGGCTGTCCGGAGGACTTTGTCGTAGCCAAGGTTCCACATTAGCTTTTTTTTTTTGACGAGGAGGAAATCCATCATGGATACCCTGACCCTCGGGGAAGGGCCAGGGTTATGCCGGACTCCTACCGGCTGAAACCTCCCCGGATGGCACTGCGAAGGGACTTGGATCGGAGCGCCGGTGCCTATGTAACTGCAATCGGGGCCCCGAGTCCAGATAGACTCATCGTCTGTCCCTGAGGGGTGGAGCGGGGAGGGGGGAAGCAATCCTGAGCTCTGCTCAACCGCCGCTCCCCAGGGAGGAAGGGGGAGACGAACCGAGGTTCTTCTCAACCACCGTTCCCTCCCTTTCCACCCCTCACGCCCCGCCTATGTGACTGGGAATGGGGAAGCCGGCAAACGCCTACGCTTCAACCACCGTTCCTAGTCAGGCGAGGCGCCGCCAAGATACCGTTGTGTGGCTGACTGACCCACCGAATCAGCCAGCCATCCTACGTTGGGAGGGCTGGTTGAGGCACCGGGAATCCCCGCCCGCTGCCCCACCCTCTTCGGAGCCCTTCTCAGTGGTGACAATGGCAGGGGAGGGGGCAGGTTGGGGGGGCGGGGATGGTGAGCCCACCATCCTCATTTCATCCTCCTCTGAGGAGTTGACGTCCCCCTCACTGCTCCTGCTCCTGTCCCCTCTCCATAGTCGGTGCCGCTCTCTCCTCCTTCTCCTCCTGCATCGACCCTCCGCCTCTCGGCGGTCTTCCTCTGCGACCTCCTTCTGCGAGATTACAGCCTCGCAGAAGGAGGCAAACACTTCCCATTTTCTCTCGTTCCCCACTATTGCCCCAACTATCGTGGGGAGCAAGAGATCACGCCCAATTTCTCGGATCATGACTCTGCGTTCCGCGCTCCAGGCGGGGCAGTCCTGGAGCGTATGCTGCGCGGAGTCATGATCGTGACCACAATGGTGACATGTGGCTGTATGCCCTTTCCCTATTCGACATAGGTACTCACCGAAACATCCGTGTCCGGTGAGTACCTGTGTCATCCTAAACGTTAGGGTCCCGAATGCCCTGCCTACCCATTGCTGCAGGCAGCGTTGGACAGACTCGACGGTCCTCCTCCCATACCTGGCATTGGCCAGGATCCTCTGCCATCTCTGGAGGAGGACCAGCCGAGCCTGGTGCTTCATGCGCCGTATCGCTCCGGCGAGCGCCTCGTTTGCCTCCCCCTGTTGTAGGAGCTCCCGCTTTCTGATGTACATAGTCCTATATATCAGGGCAAGGAGCTCCAGGGGAGGCATGCCCGCCAGAGTTGTCGCCGCCACGTGGGACAGTGTCCGATAGCACCTCGCTACCCTGACCGCCACCGCCCTGTGCGCTTTGCGCAATTGCGCTTGCATTGGGCGGCTGGCGTCCAGAGACTCAGCCCATACCGGCGCTCCATAGAGCGCCACCGAGTTCAATATCCCCGCGTGGAGGCGACGCGCCTTCCAACCCGGTCCCCCGATGTTGGGCATTAACCTGCCCACGTTGGCCGAAACGACCCGTAGTCGGGGGACTAGACGGCTCATATGTTCTTTGAAACACCAGGTGCCGTCCAATGTGAGGCCCAGATATTTCATCTGGGCCTCAATCGGGAGTCTAACTGTTCCAACCCTTATCTGGGCCTGGGGTGGCTTCCATCCCTTTTTGTAGAGGAATATAGCCTCCGTCTTTCTTTCCGCCATCGCCAGGCCCAGGCCGCGGATTGAGCGTACAGCACATGCCACCGCTTAATTAGCCATCGTAGTGGCCTCCCCCCACTCCTTCCCCCCGGCTAGGATGAGCGTGTCATCCGCGTAACAAATCATACTGCAGCTGGGGAGAGGGCAGTTCGGAGGACTTTTTTTTTTTTTGATAACGCAGGAGAAACCCATCCAATACCAACCATAGGTACCCTCCGCCCCCTGGGAGAGGCAGAGGGTTATGTGAGACTCTTACTCACTAAAACTCCTGCGGGATGTCTACCAGTCGAACCGAGATGGGGGGAGTCAGGGGAACTGTGCCAGCATTCCCTCCCCGACACCCCGGCCCCAGAGCTCTAACGGAGCCCCACGCTCAAGTACCACGCCCGTGTGGATCCTCTCCAGGAAGAGGGTCCGGGCGCGGTGCCCCGATCGGCGTGCCGATCGGGTTGGCCTTCCGGTATTTTACGGGAGAGAGGGGACACCCACCCTCCCTCCCGCCCCCTCCTCGAGGAGTGATTTCACTCCAGAGGGGGCGGGGGAACAAGACTCTTTCCCAGAGGGCCTCGCTCCCCCCTACCCTACCTCACCGACGCCCGGGGGAGGGCGAGGGGGGCTTACACCCCTCCCTCCGACGACTCTCCCCCGCGCGTCCGCAGTCGAGCCCGAGGCGGCCGAGGGGGCGATCCCCGGTTGTCCGAAGATCGTTGCTCCCCCTCGGCCGGTGCCACCTCGGGCCGGGCAGTTCGAAGGACTGACAAGTTGTGAGTCGTAGCCGAGGTTCCACAATAACGGGCCTAAAACCGACCCTTGTGGAACCCCGCAGCTCATCCCCCTCTCACACACCGTGCCGTCAGCGTTTGTCCAACTGAGACGCCGACCCCGGAAGTAATCCTCGACGACAGCCGTGGGGTAGGGTGGGAAGCGGAAATGATCCCTCATCGCCTCCACCACCCTACCTCAGGGCAGGGTGTTAAACGCGTTGGCGATATCCAACGATACCTCCACCGCCACCCTGCCCTCCGACACGATGGCCTCCGAGAGGGACCGTAGACGCAGAATCGCATCCACGGTTGATCTTCCCTCGCGGAAGCCATATTGACTGTCATTGAGAGTTGGTCCTACCCGGGACATATGCTCCTCTAGGCGGGCTGCTATTACTCGTTCAAACAGTTTACCCGCCTCATCGAGAAGGCCGGTACGCGGAGGGGGAGCCTTCCGGCTTGCCCTCTTTGCGGAGGAGGACCACGTTGGCCCCCCCCAGACTGGGGGGAACCTGCCTTCCCGAAGGGCTTGCGTAAATGTGTTCGCAAGCCCTTTGCTCAGGTACCCTGAGGCCAAGGTGAGAACTCGGCCAAGGATGCCATCCGGTCCTGGTGCCTTGCGGCTTTTGATCTTTTTGACCGCTCTGGCCACCTCCTCCTCATCGACCCCCAGTACCACCCTTTTCCTCTTCCTGTTTCATAGGAGGGACAGAGGGAGCGGGTGGCGTCGGTGCGGATGCCACCTCCGCCTCCCTCTGCTCTCTCCTGGGTTTCTTCTTTTTAGGGGGGTGACAGGTAGGACCACTCATCCTGTGGCCGGCCGGTACTCCTGCTTCTGCACATATTTGACACCTGTGGCCGGCCGGTACTCCTGCTTCTGCACATATTTGACATCTGGCTCGGACTGAACAGTCTCGAGCCAAATGTCCCGCCTCGCCACACCTGTAAAGTTCTGCCTTCTGTCCGCGTTACTTGGGCAGTTATATCTCTCACCCCCTGTTGTTTGGGGGTGGGAGATATATATGGGCCTATTGGGTTCCCCTCCCTGACTGGGAAGAGAGTCCCCATGACCCGCTCGAGAAATCGGGGGTCGAGCGTTTCCGTCAACGGGGGCGCCCATGGTTTTAGTTTCTGCAAAACCATTCTATAAGGGCACCCCCACGAATCCGCGTCCAACGAGAGGAGGAGGGTGTCCTACTCTTTTCCTTTGGCCGCCCCGATAGCATCTCTCAGTGTCGCTGCTGCTAGACAGAACTTTCTTCGGATGGCCAAAACGGCCTCGGGGTCCGAGTCCGGGTCATTCCTAACCCTTCTGAATGCCCGCCTGAGGTGGACCGACTTTTGCCTGAGATCGACGATGTTGTCCACCACCAGGCGGACCTTTTGGGGCAGGATCTGACTCTAGGCTTGGAAGCCTCGCATGCCTGTGCAATAATGTCCATGATCTCCTTTACCGCAGAGTCCAGCCCCTCCTTGCGTTGTGGCCAGGTGGCAACCTCGAGAGAAATTTCGAGGGCCTCCCTGTCCAGTTGGGCCAGAGCCCATCGCCCTGGTCGAGGACCTTTTTCCTTCTGTGGCCGCAGGCCGTCGGGGGGGACAGCTCCATCTATATGAGCAGGTGGTCCGAGAGAGCTTCCAGCTCGTCCGCCACCCTCCAGGTCCGCATCCGTTTGAGGGCCGCAGGGGTTGCCCAAGTAAGGTCGAATGTAGACTTCTTTCCCACATTGAATAGGTGCAGACCCAGGCCCGCGGCCCATTCTTTAACTACCTCCCCCCACCTGTCACCGCGCCGGGAGCCCCACAGTTCTGATTTCGCGTTGAAATCCCCGGCGATGATGACAGGCCCAGGAAGGAACCGTTGCACGTCCCTCCCTATATCTTGGAGCCTGGACCTAAAACTTGGCAAGTCCTGGCTCTTTGTTGGGTGGAGGTAAATCCTGACCACGATCAGGGCTCCCCATCTGGCCACAACGTAACCCCTCCCCCCTACCCAGCTGGGAAGCGGGGGGTGAGTTTGCACTTGCCCTCCATATTATAGCGACGGAGTCCAGTTCGTCCCTAAACCATCTGGGGTGGTTCCTTGGGACCTTGTAGGGCTCCTCCGCTATTCCCAAACCTGCACCGCGCTCCACCATGGTGTGTTCAAAGAGCGGCATGGCCTGGCGAGCGCGGTGCAGGTTAGACTGGAACAACCGGGTGGCCATTATTCTGATTGAACTTCGTTAATGGAGACCTTTCCCCCGGGTTGCTCCCCGTTATCAGTTCCACTCTTTTCTCGCTGACGGGAGCATTTCTCCCCTCTCCTCTCCACATTCATCTCCTCGCACTCCTCTTGCTGGGTGTTGGAAGGAGGATTTTGGTCAGGTGAGGGAAGCGACGGTTCCTCCACCTTTTCTCTTCCTGTTTCATAGGAGGGACAGAGGGAGCGGGTGGCGTCGGTGCGGATGCCACCTCCGCCTCCCTCTGCTCTCTCCTGGGTTTCTTCTTTTTAGGGGGGTGACAGGTAGGACCACTCATCCTGTGGCCGGCCGGTACTCCTGCTTCTGCACATATTTGACATCTGGCTCGGACTGAACAGTCTCGAGCCAAATGTCCCGCCTCGCCACACCTGTAAAGTTCTGCCTTCTGTCCGCGTTACTTGGGCAGTTATTTTGCACGTGCCCTTTCTTGATGCATCTGAAGCACTGTGCAGGCCTGGCGTACAGCAACTCAACTCTCACCTGGGTCCACCCTATGGCCAGAGTCTCCCTCTCAGCAATCTTCTCTGCCGCTAATAGGGGACACTGTAACCATAAGGACCTGGACCCATTCCATATGGTCCTGATCTTTGCCGTCTTAACCTCCGATACTCCACATCCCCCTGTTTTAGCCACGCATCTTGCCGCTTCTTCCTCAGTAGTGGAAATCTCCAAGCCCCTGAGCCTAATCTCCCCCATTTTCTGGGAGCGATTGATTTTGGCCCTACCAGCCAGGATCTCATTTAATTTACCTGCCAAGAGGTTAGCCTGGTTTCCCCTGTTTTCCCCCGAAATCTCCAGAATTAGGGCCCCTGTTACTCCCTGCCTCGTTTTTATTTTGGAAATCCCAAGGCCCTCGAGATCTATCTTTCGTTTGGCTTCCGCTAGAAGCTCCTTGTACTGCCCTTTTTCGACAGTTATGGAGACCGCTGCAGTGTTGGGGATTCTTCGTTTTATCTTTTTCCCACCCCCACTTCCACTGTTCCACTGTCCTAACCGTCCTAACTGTCTGCTCCTTTTCCTGGGTTTCCCATGGACTGCTTCCTTGCCTCTACCTTTTTCTCCATCCTTTTCTCCTTCCGTCCTACGACTTTGGACCATGTCTCTTGGGAGACTGGTTCGACCTTCGCCTCTTCATGTCTCCCTAGCACCTGGTGTTCGCCTCTCTGAGGAAGCGGAGTTTGACTACGTAATTGAGACCCACTCCTGCTCCCTAGGTTTTGATTTACGGGTTGAACACCCGGTGTCTTTTTCGCTCCCTTGTTTTTCTTTTTCTTTTTGTTGCTCTCTCCTTTGTCCTGAGTCGCGGGTTTTTCCTTGGACGCATTCCCTTGCAATCAATTTTGCTTCCCGTTTCTGAGTGACTCCTATTTTTCCATGGCCCGGAACACCATACCGACCACTTTCTCCTCCAACATTTCCTCCCTGTTTCCCTCGGGTACTTCCTTCCTCTCTAACCTTAGTACTTAGGGGAATATCCTCCCTTATCCTGGGACCTATTTTATTTGTCCTATCAGTCCTGGCTGCTTTTAGCCTTCCTCAAGTTGAGTGCACTATTCCAGGTCTTAATGTGCCCTGTGAAACCCCAATCCTGCCTACAACTTCCTGTTCCTCCTTATCGTGTCCGCTTTAGGGGGTGGGATCATCTTCCCTTGTCCATTCCTCATTTCCTCGTCCTTAACGTAAACCGGAGGCGAGGAGGACACCCCCGCCACTGGCGGCGGTGCCTCCTTTATACTCCGTAGTGTGCTCCTTAATTCCTCCATTTCTCTCCTCAGCCTACTTGCGAGGCTTTGAGTTGCTGATTTTCGATTCGCAGCTCCTCCATGATGTCCAAATTCTCTCCGCTGTCCCCCGTGGCCATTCTATTGGCCATGAGTGTTGCGCCCACAGTAATTGTGGCTGAAGCGTCTCGGAGAACCTTGACATGGATTCCACTCAAGTTCTTGGATCGGACAGAGAATCCAAGCACTTTTCTGGCTGCTCCTAACACTGAAGCAGCCAGATTCCTGAAGGGGAGCCTCCTCCATGTGCTCCGTCAGTCTCCTAACCTCCGTCTTATACTTCCGATTATCAAAACAATCCCGGAACGCCTCAGACGGGTTTTCGAGTCCTTTCAATAGGCTCTCCTCCCTTTGCTTATCAAGGAATTCCTTTTGTTTTGCCTTGAAGGCCTTCTCCTTCTCGTACTCCCCGGTTGTTTCGGGCCTTCCTCTCTTGCGGATCGCCTTTATCGCAAAATTCTCGTCCGTCTCCCCATTGGGTTTTTTGGGGATGTCCCATTTTCCTTCCCCTTCCGATTCACTCCATGGGGTGAATTCCGACGATGAGGATTCACAAATCTTCTTCGGCGACCTCGATCGCGATCTAGACCTCTCGCGCTGGGCAGTGGCGCTTCGGAGTCCTTCTCTCCTTATTCCCCGGTTAGTGCTAGGTTGATCTTTCGGGGACACATTGGCCTTCTCGTCCCTTCTGGAGCTACTGAGAGTTTTCAGTAAATTCTTGTCCTTGTTGCAGTCCATGGTCGTCATATCTTGGTCCAGATCCGATGATTCAGTAATAATTATATCATTCATGTTCGGTTTGACACCTACAACTCCGTACGGCTCCGCTGCCTGGGAATGCCCGCATCCCCTCGGAAAGGGGGAGCCTCCGAGTTCCCCCAGAGGAGCAGCATATGGCTCTGGCCGGCGGAATAAACATCGCCGGCACTGGCCTCCCCCCCTACACGCGCCCTGACCACCATCTCTGGTAGCCAGGCCGCTTTCGGGGGTGCCGTGCCTCCGACAATACGGGCACCGTACGGAGCGCCGCCACGCGGGGGGCCCCATGGAAGGAGGTAGCTCACCGGTGTCGCACTCCACCGGGAGCGTCTCCCCCATGGCAGCCAGCGTGCTTGCGCCGCCCGAGGGTCCGCTTTAGGGCGATGCGATCGCATTCCCTCGGGCACAGCACCTAGAGGTTCCGGCTCCGCCTCGGAATAAGTCTGAGCGGCCCGGAACACCCCTTCATCCCCGAGTACCGGGTCTGCACACCATGAGGGGTTCCAAACCCTCATGGTGTGCAGACCCGGATGCGGGTTTATCCCTCCGCCCGGCCGTGAACGGGACGGATGAAGGAGAGGTCCTCTCCATTTGGCTGACGGAGCACCGTGCAATGCCTTCGGGGATGGGGTCCTCTATTATAGCGCACTAGGGTATCTCGACCCAGACCTCGGAATACGTCCGAGCGGCCCGAGACACCCCTCCACCCCCGGAAACCATGGGGGCAAGCCCGCATGGTGTGCAGACCCGGGTGTGGGTTCCTCATTCCGCCTGGCCGTAGCCAGACGGGTGAGAGAAAGCGGGGTGGTCCACCTTCTTTGGCTGCCGGAGCACCGGCGTGTAATGCCTCCGAAGGTGAGGTCCTTTCCCCAAAAGGTATAGTGGGGACCTCGAGTCAGGGCCCCACTTTACCCCCCTCCCCCGCCGGTGAGGAACCGACGGAGGTACCTGCCATGCCGGCCCCTGAAGGGGGCCGGCCATCCCTCCCCGGGAGGGGTGTCCCCGCTGCGACACCATAGTCGCCACAATTCTCCCCCCCGATTGGGGCTATCCCTAACCTAATGCGGTAGGCGGAGTTCCCCTTGACAGGGGTCGGGCCGCCCACCACCGCTCCATTTTGGGCTGCAGTCTTTTACCGCGGTGGGTGTCCCGGCAGGAGGCTACTCTCGTCTCGACTGCCAGGCACGTCCCACAGCGATAGACCGCTCTAGCCCTAATGTCCGGGGTGCCCCGGAAGGGAGCCTTAATTGGCTCCGGCTGCCAGGTACATCTCCGGGCTCGGGATGATTTGAGCGAGCAGAGGGCAGCTTACTGCTCCTCCGCCCATTCATCCCACCCCGCCTCCTGTATAAAGGAGCAAATCGCTTCAACATCACCCGTTGCGTTCTCTTGGACCTCCATCAGTTGGGTCAGTGGAGGTTCCAGGTCAGGAGGAGCAGCTGGTGCTACCTCCTTAACCGGCCCTGCCTTTGGTGGCGCTGATGGCGCCTAAGCCATTGGAGGTGGTGGAGGAGGGGGCATGTCCCTTCCTCTCCCTCCTGCTTCCTCTGTTGTTCCTTTTCCAGTCTTCGCGCTGGAGGGGGGAGGCCTCCTGCTTTCCCCGCAGGCAGACCCTCCCTCCTACGCGTAGCCCGAAAGCCCGGTTTTCGGCGTTGCCGTTGTCGCCGCGGTTTCCTACCGTTGGCAACTCGGGGGACGGCCGTACATGCCCTGCCATCCATACGGTGAACAGGGTTCTTACCTAAATTGTCGCACAGGGTGCACCGAGGTTCCGCGGTGCAACCCCGCGCGACGTGATCAGCCCCCCGCACCTGAAACATCTGCCACCTCTGGGTGGCCACCTTCTGCCTGGCAATCCACCGCCATGTGACCGAAGTCCAGGCATCGATAGCACTGGGTGGGTCTGTCTCCTAGTAAGCGGACAGCGGCCCTCGTCCATCCTATTTGCAGCCCCCAGGCTGCCACCAACGTATGTGCTGCCTCCACAGGGCAGCGAACCCATATCGCGCCAAGTCCTCCGGAGAACTGCCTAACCTCATCGGTCTGGATGTCCTCCGGAGGACATTTGGCTATAGAACTAATCGCCTGTCTAACCGCCCCCTTGGTTACGCTGTCGTCCAGGCCGACGATGCGGACCTCAGTCTTCTTCGTCGGCCTGGCAACGACAGCGTCCCCAGCTAGGGCGTCCTCGAGATCACGAGCGAAGCGGTCGGCTCTCGCCCTAGCGCCAACGCCCGTGATCTCGAGTATTATCCCACCATTGCGAGCTCTCTTATATTTAAAGTCCCCGGGAGGGCTAGGCCGTGCTCCCCGAGGTCTACCCTGGCCTTGGCAGTGGTCAAGACCTGAGCCGAGGTCTTCCCCGGCAGCGCAGTGATCGTTATCACCGGGTTGCGCGAAGAGGGCCTCAGCTTCAATTTTTGGGCGGGCGGAGGCCCCGCGGACGGGGGCTCCTTCCTCCCATTCTTCTCTTTGGGGGGGGGGGGCCGCCTTGGTGATGCCCGCATATGTTGGCGCGGCTATCATGGGCTCGTTCGCGGTCGCGGATTTACGCGCGGATCTCGTCTTCGCGGTCGCGGCCTTTTCCCCTCCCTTCGATGACGGTTGCGGCTTTCCGAGTCCCATCCCAGACCCTCCCCCCTTACTCCCACCTTTCTTTTTGCGGTTGTACACGGTCGTCCAACTGCTACCCTTTCCCACAGGCTGCGCCTGCTGGACATTCGAAGGGTTGAGCCCTGGACTCGCCGCTGCAGATATCGGAGGGACGAGTCCCTCCAATATCCTCCCACTCTGAGGCCTCCTTCCGCGACAGCACGTTGCGGCAGAAGGAGGCCGCTTCTCCCCATACTTCGTCGCTCCCGCACATCGACCTAACGATGCGCGGGAGCGTTAACTCCCTCTCCCTACAGCCCACCGCCCAGGCACGGCGCTTCCTGGCCCATGCTTCGCATTCGGCCAGGGTGTGATGCACCGTGTCATCCGGCGCCGGGCAGTGGTGGCAACCGGTGGTGGACTCCTGATCCGGTGCAGGTAATGACCGAAACAACCGTGTTCGATCATCACCTGCACCAGATGATACGTCAGTCCGCGTCCCATCCTGTCCGCGAACTCCGCCAGGCAGGGGCGGACGGCCTCCGTCGTTAGCTACCCGAACTCTCGCGGAGCGGACATCGTGTCCGCCCATCGCTGCAGAGTTCGGGCAGCCGCCTGAGACGTCAGGGCCGCCACACCTCCGGCCGTTTCCTGCCCCCTTTCGCGGAGCTCCTTTGTTCGCCAATACAGGAAACACCGTTCCTCGGCGAGGAGCTCTACCGGGGGAGAACCGGCCAGGGTCGTCGCCGCCATATATGACACGGAGCGGTACCCCCGAATTGCCCTCACGACCACCGGCCTCAGCGCCTGACGCAGGTTCCTGCCTTGGGCGGTGGCCAGGAGCTGGGTCGCCCATATCGGCGCCCCATAGACGGCGACCGAGAGGATCACTCCCACATACAGGCGGCGAGCGTGCCACCCTGGACCCCCTGGGTCTGCATGAGTCTGGCCAAGACCAGACCCGCCTTTCTGACCCGAGGGGCCAGGTCCCTAAAATGGGCCCTGAAGTCCCATCAGCCGTCCAGAGTCAGGTCAAGATACTTTATCTTGCGCCCGACTCGGACGCGGACTCTATCCACCATGACCCAAGTTTCCGGTGGCTCCCCACGGCTGCCGTCGTGAAAAAAGACAGCTTCCGTTTTCTGGGGAGCCACTTTCAGACCCAGGTCTCCTATGGTGTCCACCACCGTCGCCAGAGCCACCTCTGCATTGAGGCGGGCCTCTCCCAGCTTTCTCCCTCGGTTACCACGAGAGTGTCATTCGCGTAGCAGATGACGTGGCAGCCAAGGGGGAGGGGCGAGCGCAACACCCTGTCGAACGCGATGTCCCACAGCAGAAGTCCCAACACCGACCCCTGCGGGACACCGCGCTCCATGATCTGCCAGCCAATGACCCCGCCCTGTACCGGATAGGCGAGGTCCCTGCCCTCAAAATAGGCCGCGAGGATGCGCCGGAGATAGGCAGGCACCCGATGATGTTCGAGCGCCCGCCCAATCTCCGGCCATGATATGGGTGTTGAAGGCGTTGGTGATATCGAGAGATACCGCCAACAACACCCCGCCCCCCTCCTCCACGACAGTCCGGGTCAGGTCCCGGACATGCTGGATCGCATCCAGCGTTGATCGTCCGGGCCTGAACCCATACTGCCTATCGTGGAAGTCCGGCCCATCTGAGGACAGGTGCTGGATGAGGCGGTCCACGATGACACGCTCCAACATCTGTCCCGCCTCGTCCAGTAGATAAATCGGCCTGAAGGCCAGCGGTCCACCGGGTGTTTTACTCGGCTTGGGAGGAGGACCAACTTGGCCCTCCTCCACTCTGGGGGGAAGACCCCATCCCTGAGACATCCGTTTAATACCCCCTTGGTGGCTTCAGACATGTTCCGATCTCCGAGGGCGAGAGCCCAGGCGCAGCCAGGAAGACCGTCGGGGCCAGGGGCTTTACCCTAGCCTCTTCCTAGATCTGGTGAGCTCCTCCGGACTGACCCCCAAGTCCTCTGTCTACTCCCGTTCCTCAGGGGCAGGGAGCCGTGGAGGGTCCCCCTCCACCCTCGGAAAGAGGGTGTCGAGGAGGCCCTCCAGGACCTGGGGATCCAGCGACTCCGTCGGCGGGGGCGCCCACGGACGGATCTTCCCGACCGTCCGCTTATACGGGCACCCCCACGGGTCCTCGTCCAGGGAGCTCACCAGCTGCTCCCAGGCTCCCTTCTTCGCCTCGACTATAGCGGCCTTAAGAGCTATCCTAGCGCGTTGATAGCCCTTTTTCTCCTCTTCGGCATCCCCGTCCTCGCGCCGGGCCCGGGTATACACCCGTCAGGTATGGACGGCAGCCTCTCGCAATTCTGCGATGGCCGCCGTCCACCAGTAGGCAGCCCGGCGCCGACGGGGGTGGGACCGGGGCATCGCAACGTCGCAGACCGACGATGCCCACACGCCTAGCCCCCTCCTGGGGCTAGTGTCCCACTCGCCCGGCACCTCATCAAGGTGCCAGGTGGCCGTGAGGACAGCCTCCCGGAACATGTCCGAGTCTAGTTGACTGAGAGCCCATCTCGGGGGGGAGGAGATCCTGGCTCCCCCCTCTTGGGCGGCACCTGCGGAGGGGTTCGGGAACCGAGGGCCCAGACTATATATCTATGGTCAAACAAAGTCTCACCGCCAGTCACCACCGCCCACTCCCGGAAAATCCGGGCGGCCGAGGGGGATGCTCAGGTCAGATTCACGACCGACTACCCCTTTGGCCGCACACAGGACCCCCTGTTCATTCACAGGAGGCCGAGCCCCGCCACCCATCCGATCACGGCGTTGCCCCTCTGGGGATCCCCTTGCCGGGGTCGACAACCACACTCCGTGGAGTGGACGTTGAAATCCTCGGCAACGACGACGGCCGGGGGTGGCAGCTCCGCACCACGTCCCCGACCTCGTCTAGGATCCCCTTCATATGGGGCAGTTCGCCGAGACCGGCATTATTTTTACGGGGTTGCAAATACACCCCCACTATGGTTATAAGCCCCCAGTCAACCGCCACATAGGAGTTCCCCCGGGTCGAAACCCCCGCCGGCACAGCTCTGTACATCATCGGGACACGCAAGCTCCCCCACCACGGCAAGGTGGCGTCCACGGGGGAGAGGTTCCACATTTTTCTTTTTTTTTACGAGGAGGAAATCCATCATGGATACTCCTCACCCTCGGGGAAGAGTGAAGGGTTATGCCGGACTCTTACCAGCTAAAACCTCCCCGGGTAGCACTGCTAAGGGATTATCTCGGGGCCCCAGAGCCATGAAACTGCATTGGGGCCCCGAGACCTGATATTAAACGTCGTCTCCCTCAAGGGATGGAGAGGGGGGGAAGTGAGCCACGGCTACTCTTCAACCGCAGCTCCCTCTCCATCCCTCATGCCACGCCTTTGTGGCTGGGAAGGGGGAAGCCGGCTAAGGCCCGCTTCAACCTTCGTTCCCAGCCAGACGGGGCGCCGCCTGAAATGTTGCGCGGCCAGATGGGCCACCACCACCTAGCCGCCCTACCTTGGAGGGCTTGTTGGGGTCCCGGGAATCCCCGCCCAGAACCCCACCCTCCTGCCCGGCGGTTACGGGGGGAAAAGGTCCCCTAGCCGCCGGGCCCACGTGCCTGAGTCAGGCAGGAAGGGGCGATGAGACACCCCTTCCTTTCCTACTCGCTTAAGCGGGTCATAGGAGGCATTAAGGGGAGGGGAGAAGATATTTCCGATGACGATGTCACCATCTCCTCTCCCCCCCTTACCCTCATCCAACCCCCGTCTTGGGAGTCAGCGAACGACTAGGGGGCTGGTCAACAGTCCTCTGTCTTTGCCTCCCTTGTGTTGTATTCTGCGACTTATCGCAGAATGCTGATCCTCTTCTGGTGGGGATCCTTTTCCCTTCTTTTGCCCTTCTAGGGGGCATTACTCGGGTGGGAGGAACTTCCGGGGGATGAAGGACGGGGTAGGGGACAAGGAAGGGAAGGAGTTCGGATGGGCAGAGGGGAAGGTGGAGGGATGGGTGATGGGACGGGAGGTGGAGGAGGAGATGGAGAGGGAGGTGGTAGTGGTAGGGATGGTGGCCCCACCATCCCTCTGAACGCCTCCTCCTCTGAGGAGTCGATGTCTCCTTCTCTACTAGGGGAGCGGCACTCGGCTCGGCGACGCTGTCACCTTCTTTGTGTCCTCTCCCTTCCTTCCGCTTGTTGCCGTATTTCCTCGGCTTCCTCTTTCTCCTTCATCACCGTCTCGCAAAATTCTGTGAATGTGTCCAATTTTCTCTCGCTCTGCAGCATTTTGCTAACGATATTGGGGAGCGAGAGTTCGGGGCCCACCTCTCTGATCACGACCCCACGCTCGGCTGCCCATGCGGGACAGTCCTGAAGGGTATGCTGCGCGGAGTCGTGGTCAGCTCCGCAATGATGACACTGCGTCGTGCGTTCCTTTCCGATGCGACACAGGTACTCACCAAAGCAGCCATGCCCGGTGAGCAACTGTGTCACTCTGAATGTCAGGGTTCCTGACTCCCTGCCTATCCACTCGGCTAGGCAGGGCTGGACGGCCTTTACGCTCCTTCTCCCATACTTGGCGGTAGCCAAGCGTCTGTCCCATCGCTGGAGAAGAAGCAGTCGGCTTTGGTGCCTAGAGCGCTTCAGCGCCCCAGCGTGCGATTCATCATCCCTGAGATTCCTCTGGAGCTGCTTTTTCTTATCGTACATATGCCTGTACATCAGTGCGAGGAGCTCCAGAGGAGGCATGTCCGCCAGGGCCGTCGCCACCACATGGGATATCGTACGGTACGCCCTTATGGCCCTGACCGCCACCGTCCCTTGTGCCCTGCGCTTTATCGCGCAGAGCGGACGGCTGGCAGCTAGGGTCTCTGCCCAGACTGGCGCACCGTACAACGCTACTGAGTTGATAATTCTCGCGTGGAGACGATGCGCCTTCATGTCCGGCCCCCCGATGTTAGGCATTAACTTGCCTAAATTGGCCGAAGTGACTTTAAGTCGGAGAGCCAGGCGGCTGAAGTGCTCTTTAAAGCACCATGCCGTCCAGAATGAGGCCCAGATACCTCATCTGGGCTTTAACAGGAACCCTGACCCTACCTATACAGAGGTGGGCCTCCGTATGTGATGGCTTCATACCTTTAGGATGGAGGAAAATAGCTTCGGTTTTTCTCTCCGCCACCGTCAGGCCCACCTCTCGTATGGCACTCACGACGCAGTGCATCGCAATATTTGCGGTGTTGATTGCATCCCCGCAGTCTCTCCCCTCGGCCAGCACAAGGGTATCATCTGCGTAGCAAATGATGCTGCAGCCGGGGGGAGGGCTACTCGGAGGACTTGGTCATAGCCGAGGTTCCACAGGAGGAGGCCCAAAACAGACCCCTGTATAACCCCGCAGCTCATTTCTCTCTCGCGTGTACCGCCATCGGCATCCTTCCAAGTAAGACGCCGACCTCGGAAATAGCCCTCGATGACGGCCACGAGGTAGCGTGGGAAATGAAAGTGATCCTTCATCTCTTTCACCACGCTACCCCAGGGCAGGGTGATAAAAGCATTGGCTACATCTAGTGATACTGCCACAGCCACCCTGCCCTCCTTCACTATAGCCTCCGAGAGGGTCCTGAGATGCAGAATTGCATCTATAGTGGACCTGCCCTCTCGGAAGCCGTATTGGCCGTCATCGAGGTTCGGACCTGTCCGGGCCATATGCTCCGTAAGGCGGGCAGCGATGATCCTTTCAAAGATCTTGCCCGCCTCATCAAGGAGACATATGGAGCGGTACGCGGAGGAGGAGTCTTCCGGTTTGCCTTCCTTTCGGAGAAGGACCATATGGACCCCCCCCAGACTGGGGGGAATTTTCCCTCCTTCAAGGCAGCCGAGAAAATCTCGGCCAGCCTGCCCGCGATGACCCCCGAGGTTAGGATGAGCACTCGGCCGGGTATACCATCGGGTCCGGGAGCCTTACGGCTTTTGATCCTTCTGATGGCCCCAGCCACCTCCTCCTGCGTGACCCCAGGAACCTCCCTCTGTTCCTCAAAAGAGGGGGTGGTGTAGGGGTTTATGGGGGGATCCCCATCCCTCATCGAAAATAGGGCCCCTATAACCCTCTCGAGGAACCTGGGGTTTAGCGTCTCCATAAGCGGGGGCGTCCATGGCCTTAACTTCTGCATCGCTATTTTGTATGGACGCCCCCACGGATCGGAGGAGGGTGTCCCACCTTTGACCTTTGGCCGCCCCTATGGCCTTACGTAACGCGCGTGCGGCCAAGCAAAATTCAATACGGGCGGCCTTAGTCTCCTCGGGGGTTTCTTTGCCATCGCGGGCATTCCTGAAGGCCTGCCTGAGGCGGACCGATTTTTGCCTCGATTCAGCAATTTCCTCGGTCCACCACTAGACGGACCTTTTTGGGCAGGACCTTACCATAGGCATGGCCTGATCACACGCTTGTGTGATCAGGCCTATAACGTCGGCCACCGCCGAGTTGAGGTCCTGTCCTTCCTGCCATTGTGGCCAGGTGATAGCCTCAAAATTGGTGATCAACACCTCCTGTCTAGCTGGCTTAGGGCCCATCTAGCTGGTCGAGTGTCCTTGTTTAGTCTGGGCCGTAGTAATCCGTTGGGGGCAGCGGAGAGCTCAATCTCAATAATTAGATGTTTTGATAGTGACTCCAGCTCCTCCGCCACCCTCCAGGCCTGCACCCTTCCTCGGGCCGCAGAGGTTGCCTATGTGAGGTCGATTATCGACTCCCCCTGCGACCCAACAAAGGTGGATTTTCTTCTCTCGTTGAGTAGGTGCAGGCCTAATCCCACGGCCCATTCTTCAACTTCCTCCCCCCGCCCGTCAACATCCCGGGGAGAACCCCACAGGGGTGACTTTGCATTAAAGTCCCCGGCGATGATGACGGGTCCTGGAAAGTACCGCTTGACGGCCCTCCCAATATCCTGGAGCCTGGACTTAAGGTTCTGCAAGTCCAGGCTCTTTGTTGGGGGGAGGTAGACCCCGACCACTATGAGGGCCCCCACCTGGCCACCACGTATCTTCTTTCCCTCTACAGTCGAGTAGCTGGGGGGGGGGGTTATCCGTCCTCCATGTTATAGCGACGAAGCCCAGATCGTCCCCAAACCATCTAGGATGGTTTCTGAGGACATGGTTGGGCTCCGCCGCTATGTCTAGTCCTGCACCGCGCTCCGCCATTGTATGTGTAAAAAGAGGCATTGCCTGAGGGGCTCGGTGCAGGTTGGCCTGGAGGAGCCGGGTAGCCGTTATAGCTGTATTAATAGTTTTTCTGCCAGCTCCTCCTGCTCATCACTTCCTTCGCTATCCTTTGGACGGCTTCTCTTCTCCCCTCGCCTCTCCACATCCATCTCCTCCACTCCCTGTGCGTTAATTGGGAGGGGGTCGATGGACGGAGGGGTAGTGGGAAGGGTGTCTTCCTCCTCTCCTTTCTTCTCCTTATCTGGGAGGGACAGAGGTACAGTGTTTACGGGCCTCTTTTCCTTCTGTACCTGTGTCCCTTTCCTCCTCCTTTGTTTCGGAGGGTGGCATGCTAGTCCCCCCATTTTATGTTCAGCGGGTTTTCCCCCAGCTGAACATATCTGGCATCTGGCCAGGGATTCGCAGTCCCTGGCCAGATGTCCCTCCTTCCCACACCTGTAACAGTTTTTACTTCTGTCTGCTTCGCTGCAGCATTTGGATTGGACATGGCCCCTCTCCATACATTTATAGTATTGGAGGGGCCTTACGTCCAGGAGTTCAATCCTGACCTGCGTCTATCCTAGAGTCAATGTTCCCCTACCTGCAGCCTTCTATGCGGCTGCAAGGGGACATTGAACCCAGAGGGACCTGTATCCGGTCGGAGATGCTCTTATTTTGCCGGTTTTAATATTTCCGGGTTCGCATTCTCCGACTTTGGCCAGGGTCTCCTTGACCTTTTCCTGTCGTTGGGGGTTCGAGTCCCATTAATCTTAATTCCCCCATTTTTTGGGGGCAGCTTACTCTGGCTCTGTTTTCTACTACTTCTCGTAGTCTATCAGCCAGGAGGTCCGCCTGTTCCCTTCTTTTTTCCCCCGGGATCTCCAAAATCAGGGCTCCTGTCACTCCTATTCTAGTCCTGATTTTGAAGATTCCCAGTGCCTCTATGTCAATCTTGGCCTTTGCTTCCAACAGTTCCTTATATTTGTCATCCATTGTAGTGATAACCACTGCCGCAGTGTTCGGGACCCTGCGTTTCCTTTTTTCTTCTTTTCTTTCCCCCCTCTTCCCCCTTTTTTCAACTTGGGCTTTGGAGTTTGGGCCTGAGTCTTCTTGCCCTCTGCTCTTTTTTCCCTCTTTTTCTCCTTCCGCCCTGCTACTTTTGTCCACACTTCTTGTGTGGTAGCGCTTTCCCCCTTATTTATTTGGGGAGGGGAGGAGAGAAGAGAATTCCTTCCTAGTCATTCTAGGAATGGTCTGCTGAGGCTTCTGTCCTTCTTTGCTCTTTGCAGGAGCTTTTGTCATCCCTTCTTTCCTTCCCTCCTTCTTCCTTTCCCTTTTCCATCTTTGGGGTTTGGGTGGTTCCGTGGGGTTATGAAGAATTACTTCCTCTCCCTTGTTCTTCCCTGCTGCCATCTCGTCAAGCACTCTTGCAACTATCTTGGCTACTTTATTTTCTAGGGGGGTGCTTCCCTCCAAGATCTTGTCTCATTAGGTTTTTTAATCCTAACCTTGGTGTCTATTAGGATGTCCTCCTTTATCTTCGGCCCCGGCTTGTTTTGCCTTATCCCGGCTCGGACGATCTCTTGCCGCTTCGGTAAGGGGCAAACTTCTTTGAAATCCGTGTGGATCAGCTCCTTTTGGATCTCAATCACCTCTGCCAATGGTGGTGGTACCTCTTCCACTTCCATATCATTAGCAGGGGGAGAGATGTAGCCGCTTGTTTTCGGCATCCTCGCTTCCTCCTCCGTTACGAAAGTATGTATCGGAGTTGGAGTTTGTGTAGGTGCTGGAGGTGAAGTCCTTGGTACTGGTAGAGGTGCCTCTTGGATCTTGCGGAGGGATTCTCCTAACTCCTCCACTTCCCTCTTTATCTCCTCGTACGAAGTGCGAAGCCTCTGGTTTTCGCTCCGCACTTCCTCCAGGATATCCAAATTATCCCCACCTCCTTCTGCTACCCTTATAGTTAGTAGCATAGCACCTGCTGCAACGGTGGCAGCGGCATCCCTTAGGACCTTAACGTATGTCCCTTTAATATTACCTGATCTGACTGCTATTTCAAGTACCTGCTTGACTGCGTCCAAAACAGACACAGACAAGTCCTTCGTCGGAGCAAACTCCAGGTTTTCCGTCACTCTGTTGACCTCTGTCACATATTTCCTGTTGTTCGTCAGATTGGCGAAGGACACAGACGGGGTCCTTATGGCCTCGAGGAGTTCATTCTCCTTCATTCTGATTTGAAGTTCTTCCTCCTTTTCCATGAAGATCTTCTTTTTCCTGTACTCTCCCGTGGTTTCCGGTCTCCCTCTGCCACGGAGAGCTTTAGCCGCGAAGGCTTCTTCATCTGTTTCCCCGTCAGATTTTCTGGGGATCGCTCATCTGTCAATGATTCTCTCCGGCGATTTGTCAGCGGGTAAAGAATCAGCCTTGCGGTTTGGTGTTCTAGACCTGGATCTCGTTGGAGAGTCTTGGCCTTGTCTTCCAGCACAACTTCTAGTGTTTCGTGTGCTTCTACTCCTTCCTCTTCTGATCGTGTTACGGAAATGACGTTTTGTCTCTTCTCCTTCAACCATCTTACTTGTGGCATAGTGGCTCATGCTAGAGGCACTTCCCTCCTTCTTCTTCGACGTGCTGGGGAGGATCTCCAGCTCCATCTTACTTACCGGGGTCGTCATATTTTCATCCAGGTCTATATTCTTTCTTATTTTTTCATTATAATTGTGGGATTGCGAGGTCATTTTTTTGTTTTTAAACCCACAACTTTGCACGGCTCTGGT